TTTTTTTTTTTTTTTTTTATGTTCGTCGGAGTTGGTACCGAAGACCCGATATCTGGTACTTGAACAACATAATTGTCGTACTATCTTACTCTAGGTCTGGTACTAATATTGCAAATGTTGATCAAAATTGAAGTAATCAATTTTTTGTTCTTTCTATAAAGTCTGATTCATCAAGAGCTGGTACTACATAGAAGAAGTGGTACTATTATCGATGAAACGGGTACCACTTGATTTCATTAATCTATCATGTCTATTATGCCACGTGGATCACTAACGCGTGATTTTGTTGAAAATAATGGAAGTTAAAACATATAGGTAGAATTTTTGAGTAGTCATGCATGATCATTAAATGAGATGAAATGTGTCTTTTAATGAGATGAAGTGTATTAGTAGTGTTTTTCATTAGGGTGTGATTGGTTGCAATAAGGGAATGTGCTTGATTATTTCTCTTTTTCTATTAAAGGCTTATTCATGTGATTAAATATGACCCATTAACTTGTTTGGTTGAAAAGTCATTATAATCATTTAATAGACAAAATTACATTATTGTCCTTCATTTACAATTGAATTTGCAAATTGTACCTTCCAATCCAAAATCTAATAAGTATCAGTAAATCCAAAAAAAAAAAAAAAATCACAATTCTTTGACAAAATACCTGTGAAATCAAAATTATAGCTTCTTATGACCAATTTTGCATTCATACTTGTGAACTCATAATTACAGCTTCGTAATGGTATGATAATTTTTGCATTCATACCAAAAGAAATGAGCCAACAAAATTTGTGCGTAAAAGGGATGAAATAAGAAGGGTTTTGTCAATAGATTTTTGCGAATTAGAGCCAGATAAAGTGGCTATAAATTAGGAAAAGAAAGAACAAAACAAACCATGATTTCATCTTTCCCTAAGTCCTCGACCCCATCAATCGTCTCCTCTCTCTACATATGTATGCAGAGTATATGTATAGGTCTGAATTTTTGCTTTTTTTTTTTTTTTTCTTTAAGCTGTTGTACAACAAACTTAATCGAACCAAAATCAAGCTACAGACGAGATCTCCAAC